GTCTATTGCGTACCAATATATTATTTTATACAAATAAACATTTGATCAGAAATATTAAATTAAATAAATATCAAATTTCGTGCTTTTGAATCATATTATGAATCATTTCCTTTTGTTATCATTGGTAGAAAATTAATATAACGCTGGATTGTTAAATGACTCATTCACTTTTATATTAAAGTTATAAATAATTTAATGTACAATTTAATATTAACGCAATCCTTAGATTGTATTACCTGCTGTACTACTCCGAGATGGAGAACCATCAGCTGTGTTTATATTAAGGCCCTACGTTTTCGCGCAACAGGATACTAAAAAAACTACGTTTTCAAATGCTAATTCATATGCATACTCGAAATTCCGGAGGTACCTATAAGGTGACACGCTATAGATGTAATAAAACGTCATATTTATAAACAGATGTAACAACATGGATCTTGAACGTTTCCTTCAATAAATGCGTTCAAGTGAAATCCACCGGTTACCGGTTTCCTCACGTAAAACCAATTTCCAAATGTACGGAAACGTGCCGTCCAACTGGTGCGAAAGATTATCATTATTTCTTTTTTACCTCGTCGAACCGCCAGTGGATGTTTTCACCGTAAGGGTGAGTTCTTCCCTTTGCAACCGATCACGCATTGACTCAGTGCGTATATCATTGACTATTGCTGTTACCTTTATTATGTTCAGCAGTTCTCGTGAGAATATTTGCCGTTTCCCGCGTATAGCCAGTACACGGTTCGAATAATATTATTCGGTTTACTATTGTTGTAGTGTGTGCGACGCAAAAAGAAGATAAAAAAACGAATAGTAATAATAATGATCCGAGAACTACACATCATAGTACTAGCATGCGGCGACAGTTGTGCAACCTGATAAAACCCTTCAACGGCATAAATAAAAAATGGCACAAAACAGGTTGTGTTGTATGCATTTTACTGCCTTGCGATAATTACGATGCACTCAGAGTATATACACGTGTGCTGAATTCACAATAATTGCGGTACCTTCAGTCTATGTACCTTTAATCACCTGTATTAAATGCGCAATAACAGTAGAACGTTAAAAAATCCATCATTGTGTAGATTTTTAACGAATCCTCAACTTACAGTATCTTTCTCTTGTCAAAGACACAAAACCAGATCAGTTGGGTGTGCTGCTGTTGTGACGCGAGGTTTATCTTATCTACCGTGAACGTCTGCCATTGAATTTAAATCATTTACCAATGTGTTTCATCCATAATATTATACTAAGTGTACGTCTTGTTGCTTTATGTATCTGTCGAAGCCTCCTCCAAGTCAGACGATTGCCATCGCAATAAAAGCTGCTTATTTCGGTGTAATCATCGTGTTTTACTGTGTACTAGTACGGGCGAGTATTTGGTTCTATAATTTAATTCGTGATGGAAGCCAATTGGTGGTTGATATGCTGCATATGGCCCTTTGACGGCGACTTTTATGATGCACTTTACATGATTATCAATTGGAAATAATCTAAAATGTAACACAGCGTATTGTAATATTTTTTATGTGTTGTCTAGTCTTAACATATTCGGTAATCGAACGTGGCAGAGGAGTTGCTGCAATTACCGTATGAACAATTGACTTTTGATTTAGTATTTTAATGTTTAGTTGAGATATATAATATATACTTAAATTGATACAATAACTTCCACGCAGATAGTGAACAATGATTTTTTCTTTAATATATTATTGTATGCCAAATGATTAATTGTTATTTCGCAACAATTATATTCGCCGAACTCAATTCTATTGTCTTATTTAATGTGCGTGGCAAGTAATTTCTATTAATTTTTATTTTGTGTGGAAATGATGATATTCAATAAATTTGTTATTATTATTTAATCATGAGAGCATATAATAAAATAATAAAAATTGATCACTTGTGGCTAATTAATTAAGTAAAATTATCCGCGATTTTTCATTAATTTTTTATGGCTTTGAGTTTGATATTTTTTAGTTTTTTTAAATTAATAATATTTTTAATATTATTAAAGAGAGCATAATTTTAATTTTACTAGTTTATTATAAAATTTATTTAAATTTGAATAGTTGTCATTCGTTAACTCTTTTTTTAAAAACAATTTCTTTTATTATAATTCCCTTTTTACTATAGTTTAAACATAAATGAAGTATAAAAGCTTCTTATTAATTTTTATTATTTTGAATTGCCTCAGCTATAGCGGATGTTAGTAAAGCCATGACCGGAGATCATAGTATGGAAAGTTTTGCAAATGAAGTTGTTACGCTTATAAACTTATTGCCGCCCACTTCTGTCAACAAATGATCTTCTTGTGGTGATTTTGAAATAATTTTTTAAGGCCGACCCTCTTGTTATGGTCATCGACCATATTATTTTGATTCCAGATTCGTATTTCTCATTAACAGACCTTCGCATACAAACAAACAATTTGCGACCTAAACAATAACTATAATAATATGGATTGTTTTTTGTATCCTCAACAGCTGTTAGGTTACGCCTCCTCGTCGTCATATCACCGACACAAGTAGCAAATGATGACGACAGCTTGTTGTAGGCGACCTAAAGTCTTGTGTCAACATCACCATGTTTTTATTCTTACTATCTTTATCATTGCACGTTTTATCAACGCAGTTAGTATGATAATTATTATGCAGTGAGTGGTATCGTTCTTCGAAATTGATGCAATACAAGTACATGTTATTTGTACATCGCAAGCATCACGATAACAATTACTATGTTACACCTCATGACTGTGGGTTTGTGTGTAAGTTCTATTGCATATTTATGCCAATAGATCGTCAATGTCCGTGTAGTTGAAGAACACACTTGCACAGCACAAACTAAATGTACAGCGGATGTTTACCGACATACCTTAACTTGTAAATAACATTTTGCTTTACTAAAATAATAATAGAAATGCTTAGTGTTGGTGATCGTTTATTATGTGTAGACGGTGAACAGTACTAACACTTGACCTTTTAAGCGTTTAAATATATAGAGCAAACGACGAACTACCGTCACATTAAGAGCCGCCCGGATCATAGTCATCATTTATTAATTGATGAGGGCAATTGTATTAATAAGCAATAATATATCGAGTGGGACATTTATTATGATGTATTATATTGGAATTAAAACCTTTCAAATGAGTTTTTTTTAATTTGTGTTTGTCGGAGTTAATTCACCTGTTACCGTCAGACTACTTTAGTCTCGGTGTTCGTCGTAACATTTCAGTGGTACAAATAAATCATAATTTTTTCTTGTGCTAGTCTTTGTATTATTCGACTCGCACCTGTTTTTTAGTGCTTTATCGGTTTTACATTAGCTATTCTATGTGATTTCTTTTTTTGCGTCGTTTCCAATGGCCGTTGAACTCTCCCTCGTTCAGTGTGTTAAATACACATGAGTGGAATTGAACGTCTCGTACAGGTTCGAGTGGTGTGTGTAGAAACTAAAATTATATTATTATTATTCAAAGAGGGCTGCATGGGCACACGTATGTATATTTTATATGCAGCCGAGCTTGCGTGCGCGTTCTGTTTTTATAATAATTATAATACACTTTAATTTAGTGTAATTATTACATTTTATTCTGAAATCGCACTCTACCTCGTACTGCATCGACGAGAGTTGTTTATAATAATTTATAATGATACTGAGAACATGCTAACGAGTAACTACTGTCCATACAATAGCTTACTGAATAAGAATAACATTTTTTTTTTACTATTAAGTATTAAAGTTCTGTATAAAATTGAATACAACGTAGTCACATCTTTTGTATAGTACTTACATATACAAAACCGAGAGATAAAAAATATTTTTCAATAGATTCTTCTTTCAGAATTAAGACCCGGAAAGATTTATTAAAATAATTATAAATATTATTATGCGATTAAGCGACAGTGTAGGTAATTAATTATGCTTATTGAGTTCCGTATACCTCCACGAAGACCTCTTAACCTCGTAGTTAATCGTTATTACTGATTTGATGTATAATGCGCTTACAAATTGTACGTGATCCTAAATTTACACCGGCGTATATTTTTTATGACGCGGACTTAACAGAAAAGAGATAAAATTTAACGTTTTAACAGAATTTTACAAGTGACAGTACATTTGGACCTATTTGAAGTTCGTTGGTTGATCTTTTTCAAAATAATCTTTTAAACTATTTTTAGGTTTATCGAATGTAAAATTATAATTCCTGATACAATATGTCTATTGAACTACAATTAGTTTATTAAGTTTTTTGATTAAGATTAAATTTCACCGATACCGTAAGAGTGTTATGTTGACAGTTTTATAAGGAACACTTAAACGACTTCATTATTTTAAGTACCTTTTAAGCATATTGCCGGTCAATGTACCGTTTCACTGTGAAGATTATTAATTAACATACAAAGTTAATTAATGTGCAAACAATCGACCCTATAATTTAATACTTTACTAATAGTGCGGCCTAAAAATTCTCGTAAATTAACACGCCGTTGGACTTGTAATTATACTGGAGAATATCGCTGGATTTAAAAAATTAAAAGTACTATTGTAGATACGAGGAAATTATTTCCGACCAACAGATAGAACATACGTAGAGATCAACATAGAAGTCTGTTGGACATTTTGTCGATCAACAAATTTTAAAGATAAAATATGCATTTAAACAGCTGTCTAGGATAAAATGTATAAATCACATTATTGAATTGCAAATGATAGACTTGACAGAGAAAAAAATCGTTTCTCGTTAAAGAGTAGCTCCTCACAATGGCCAGCGCAGAACGATATTGGTATAATTTATAAATAATGAGCTTGTCTGGACGGCTACTCATTTTACACATCGTGTTGATGACGAATCGCGAAATGTTTGCGATTGATTGAATAGTATTATAGGTGTACTCATCGTAGTGACATGCGCTCGGGTTGTTGCGATAGGCCATATAATATTTAAGTTATGGGTTATTGATGCGTTTTGCATCGGCAACCTTTAGGCCAACATATTATATAGTTCTTCGCACACCGAGTTTTATGGGCACAATCCTTGACGCCAAACGATTGATGGCCAACAATTTCAACGACGAAGGAGAAACTAATGTACCCGTCGTTTCTTTATTTTTATTCCATTTCCAAAGAGTGGTGTTGCCCAAGACGGTATTCCGTTTTTGCTGACGCCACACCGCACCTAAATACCCATAATGTGTATAAATGTTTAAACATAACATTATTATATTGCGCGTCTCGACCAATTTACAACTGTGTTGTCGTCGTCAAATGCCTCTTCTTCTGTAACACGAATGTAGTTCCTCTCCTAGACTCGCGCCGAAATAACTCTTATGTTTTTGGAACCCTTTCGCGACATGTCCAAGTTTCGACTGCAACGGTGTTTCGACACGGTTATTATGCTTTATCTGTCCAAGACTGGGAGTGTACTGGACGAGTGCGGTTTGTTTTAACAATTGTTTTTCTCTATTATTATCAATATTATTATTCAGTCCGGTAGAGGTGCGCAAATTTTTAGTATCTATACCATGTAACTCGATTGGATGTGTTTGTGTTACAACACGCGATGTATATATTTCTTGTTTTGTATGTTAAAAGTAATATTAATAGACGTTTACTCCGTTTTTGTCCGTTGAATCCGCCGCGTTAGTATTCACAACATCAAACGATTTTTACGCGCCGCTGTAGTTTATCGCGGTCGTGCATTTTATACTAATAATTATAATAGTGATATTTCTGCCCGTCTTTTTATATGTCTATGTACGAGGTGTGCTGACGTCGAAGTACCAGTAGCAGTAGAATAAAATAGCAATTATCTTTTGGGTCAATTAAAATTAACACTTTGATAGTCAATTACAGTAATCCGCATGTATGTTTATATTAAGGTTAATATTACAACAACGAACGTATCGGTTAAAAATCGGGTTTCGACTGGACCCCTCCCCTCGCGTGCGTTGTCGAATACATAATGTTCAAAGAAAATATTACCGTTTGAATTTTTAATATGTTCGATTGCAAATTGATGATAAACGCGTTTTTTCTATACGTTTCATGTAAGTTATACGCTATAAATAATTACACGTAGGACGAGTTAAAATTTAAGTTGAAAACCGTTTAAAAGTATAAAGTATCCTATATTTATTATCATGCAAATAAAAACAGGAATAATCAAATGCATTAGCTCACGAAGAAAATATATCTTGTAGTACTATTTTCGTAATTTATGTTTATAATATTCTAAAGCTTACCTGATTTGTGAATTTATTAAGATTTTATATTTTTCTCTTCAGTTCCTTTACGTAATGTCTTTCAACGAAATTGAATAATTATCTCTCAATTTGTGATACGATCAGTTTTTCGATTCTGCGTAAATTGTAATCAAATAACAACTTATTATTATTTTTTTTTTTTACACATATCTGATAGTGTTATAAAAATATTAATAACAGGTTCCCACAAATTATTTAATTCTTTTCACTATAGCCGGTGTAGTGCGTTTTAATTGCACGTGAGTGTATACTTTCAAGAATGATCTATTTTCTGATCATTTATCCAGATATTCATAAATACAGCATGCAACATTTCTCACGGCATAGGTAGGTAGCATTTGATTTCAAAACTCGGTTAGTGTTGTGAACAGGGTGATAAAAATAAAGTCGTTTGACTGTAAAAAAAGTTATAGGTATACTCCGCTAAGTCTTTTTTTTTATCTGGATTCGCCGTTATGTTGCCTCAAACGCTTGGGGCCGACTTGGGATGTATACATATAATATGAAATATACAAGCTGTAGGTGCAAGAAATGCACCGAGTCATCGGTTTGTTATAAACAAGATATGCGTATAACGGCTCATGTTATATATAAGCGCTTATAAAGAGACTATATACAACAGTGAGCACGTGTGTTTTAGTGTACGGAGTGTTAAACGCAATGGTTTTTTGTTTTGATTTAATAAATCACATAACAACGAAGGAAGTATAAATCGATTATACCGTACGGATCGTGTAATATTTCCAAAAGCATGAATGCAAGTTTACATTTCATATTTGTTTACACCACAAGTTTGTTTTGGAGCCAGCTAAAAAGTGGAGTGTTAAGTATGGTTTAAATATTAACTTTTTCTTTTGGCTTGCTCGGAGAAACTGTGTACTAAATTTCTCATCGGTATATTTTCTAAACTGCGATAAGAATTAAAACTAAAAAAATAAATACTCGAATGAGTGCGTGCATTGCAAATGATACGAGTGCAGTTGATACGGATAGGCTCTGGTACTCACAAACCAAGTAAATAAAATAATGAGAAATTAAAAAAACCACTTAAAGATAATTTTTTGTTTATTTTAAAATTTCAAATTTAGTCATGGCATTCATTTTTATGAATATTATCTGAGATATGACAATTGTTATCACTTGGCACTGCGAATACACCTATCTTATCGCTGACTCTGATGCCAAACGTCATGCCACTTCTGGTGGTAGGCCTAGATGCACAATATGCACTGTCATAATTGGCCGGACCTGGGAGATCTCTAGTTTTGTTATACAATCGACAGCCCATTGATTGTCTGGGTGCAGATTTCTTGTAGACGTCCGGTTTGACGAATTCGTAATGGTTGGGCCCAGGCGTGACCTCCGGAGCCTTGGACTTCAACCGGTGGCTTATGTGGATGGCTGGGCCGTTGAGTGTGCTTGGTATATTGTACGCGTTGGGCGCCGGTGAATCTCTCTTCTTAGCGTCTTGTTGTCGCCTGTCTGTGGTCGACGGCCATGGCGCCATCTTGAACCCCGGGATCTTTTTGGGATACACTGGACAATAGTCGCTCGGGCCCGGCGTCTCCTGGGCACGTATTTTTGGCGCAGGATTTCCGAATAGCACACCAGGCGCCGTGTCTTTACCGTACCTATTGAATCCTGACGTGTCGTAAGGTCCAGGTCCCAGGGGTTTCGTCTGAAAATACACAATTGAATTAGTCTTGTCGAGACATAATTTTTGTTAAAAATAAAAATTTGAATTGGAAACGAATGACGCCTAACCCTTCGATGTATCAAAATCGGATAAGACTTGGGAAAACGTATTGCGCATCTACTCGATTTGNGATAAGACTTGGGAAAACGTATTGCGTATCTACTCGATTTGAAATTTAAAACGATCTAAAAAATTCTAGCGTTTTTATGTGTTATGTACCCAAACGCATTAAATATTAAATTTCGTTCATAACCCCGTTAAGATCTCAGACATAACATTGACGCCCATTGAATTTTAAATAAATTTTCTTCCGGTGGGATATTCGAGAAACTGTTTTTATTTTACTGGGCCGAGTAACTGGGTTAATAAACATTTTATTACCTAACAGACACCAGAACATCAAGTGTCATAACAACGTTGATATTAAGAATTGGCTCATTAATTAGAACATATTTTCAACTACTAGGCATGACTGACGTGTTGCACAAACAATGAGCGCATAATTTATTATTTAATATATTTTTATTTTTGTTCGAAATTTCATCACGGCATTGCCGCCTAGTGCTATAAACGCTGGAAAGAAAATAATAAGCCGGGCCTTTTATCTGTCGATTGTTTCAATGGCCATTAGCTAATTTAAATGAACTTTTATAATGAAAGCGTTGACTTGTTGGTACTGGCTAAGTGGTGTCCTTACCCGGATGATATTTTTTTTAATAAAGTTGGTCTGTGCGTTTCTCGCTTTTGAAAACGCATACACCTATGTATATATTAGGAGTATAATATGTTATATGCATTATAGTGTAATGTGTTCACCTTTCACTCGGCTTGGACTACTATAATACTGGCACTTAATGACGTTGTATTCATCGACGTCGGTGGCGGCGGCGGCGGCTATCGACTCACGAAGTTTTTTGTTACTTATTTCAATTTTTATTTTTTCCGTCATTTCGGCTACCGTAACGGATTGTATTATGAATTTTACAATCACGGTCGTATACAAAAATAATTACTATTAATCTGACTGTATCACGGCAACAGAGATATTACACAACGAGCTACCGTGTGCTGGATATCCATGTGTACGATGCATGGCAAAGAAAATATATTATTATTATTATTGTTATTGTGTTACAACCTCGGCACAATATGGATATTGCAATTATCTCCTCGATAGGTGGTAATACACCAGACAACTGGCTATTTAATTATTATGTACACGCACGATGGAAAATAAAAATTGATGCTAACGTCAGAGATGATGGATTATTGTCTCTGCTAGTTGTATTATAATAATTAGATATTCCAACTAAAAAATCCACAAACGCCCGCTTTAATACAATTGCTCCAAGTTTTTACTCGCGGAAAGTTGCATGTGTTACAATTTTTTTTCGTCTATCGATTAATTTGCTTGCGTAAAATAAGTAAATTTTAAAACTTTAATGTCGAGATTAAAAAGAATCCTCATTTCGATGATTGAATTTTTTTGAAAATTAATTAGAATTCTTTTGTTCGAACCATCCTCGTTTAAGGTCGCGTCCCTAATAGGTCTTTCAATACAAGCAATTTTATTTCTTATTAATTTTTTTATTTTTCTTTAAAACTGTTTTTGTTATAATAAAACACCGAACAACACAAAAAAAGAAATTATTTTAGCTAGAACTATTCGTTTTTCATGGAAAATCGTTCGTTCTTTGTGCGAATAATGTAAAAAAAAAAATGTTATTTGTGGGTCGAGTGATCTTAGCTGTAATTTTTATATCACAATTTAAGTTTCTAAGTATTCATTGTTTCCGCTATAATACACACAGATAATAGCAATATTGTGTCTAAAGGCTGCAAAAAGCATCCCGGTAGTATTCATTTCAATCGCAAGACGCAGTAGCTGCAGCAACCGCCGCCTCCATTTTCGGTCACGAAGGTAAACCGACTACAATATAATAATTTCACGATAAACCCGTTCGACAATCGCGTTTTTCAAATACCATTGAGTATCGGATATTTTATAGCGTTTGCAGTAATTATTGTTATTAACTTAACCTCTATACAAACAGGTCAAGTAAACACTTTCTGATAACTGTTTTGAAGAGGAAATTAACTGGAATAAATCTTTAAAGCGATTATTTTGTTTAGCTTATTATACGAATCCTAAACTTATTCAATAGACGATAGTTATATTCAGAATTTAATTTGAGTTGTATTTTTTAATCTCGACGTTGTCATGAAATGATTTCTTTTTTTAATCATTTTAATGAACATGCATTAAAATGAAAATCATTGACAAAACCTTTACCACCCGTCGTTTACATAGAAAGATAATATGTGTGCGTTGTAATTAGAAAACACTAATGAGGGTTATTTTCAGTTGTCCCCTATTTATTTAAAAACTTACAGCGATCATTTTTCTCGCAGTTAAAGTGTACACTGGAGGTTGTTCGATAGTCGGGTCCTGAATTTTTCCTTGGTGAGCAATTGTCGAATTGATATTGTACGCCGCCGGACCTGGGCTTCTGTTTGTAGTGTTCAAATATTCCAAAATTTTCTTGTCCATGATTCCTATTTATTACGTTATATTTGTCTATGTTGTATTTAAAATTAATTTTTTAATAATAAATTTATTATGTGTTTTGGTTGGTCGTTTGTTTTGTAGTCAATCATACTATGTGTCATTCATATGGGCCAACAAGAATTAATAAATATAATAAATTAAATGTTGTTTTTATGTAACGTTACTAATTTTATTAAAAATGTTTAGACAATCTCTTTTAAAATTGAAGAAAACTCCTGACCACATTGCCATATAACCTGTGTCTACTAACTGCCTACTACTTGTAAAGGTCACTCGAACAAGGCTCATGTGTATTAGTTAGGCGTAGAGAAACACTGTTATCTAATGTGTCCCATCTTCTCGGTGTGTATTGGTTTCGTGTCGTATAGACGTTTCACCAGGAAATCAACAGTTTTTTTTTATCTAAACGTCTTATCAGTCTTTGCCATCAGTCCCGAGAGCTTGGAGCAAAAAATCATACCCTCTGCGATTGTATTTATATATAATGCAGTATAGTATTTATAGGAATTATACACGAGAATTGGAAATTTTACTGACCCGTTCAATAAGGTTCAAGTCGATTTTCACTTTTTGTTGATGTTTAGTTACAGTGTTCTATGTTTGATACACTTATTTCGCATTCGGTTTCACCTCTGTTTTTAACTGTCGTCTATTAAGTATACATATCAGTTATTATTTTGACCAGGAAAAAAATCAATATGTGTAACACACGCACGAATTCATTAAACGTTTGATTACGTGTTATATATTCTCGTTACGCCCAATGGAATCTGACGTATTTTTTAGCCGGCTAAATATTCTTAAATAAATACATAAAAAGGGATCACTTTAAGATTCTAATTTAACATTCCATATTCCTATGTAAACCACTCTAATGAATAAAATCTCAATAAAAATGTCAAGTCTTCAAAAAATTGTTTTTATATGAAATTGCTTTATGGTGTTGTTATTGTTTATTGTTTTATTATAGAGTAAAAATAAATGATAATTTTTGTATAATATACAATAGCTTGTTCATCATAATTTTTAAAAATGTTGTCTAAAATGTTTTTTTTGCTATATATATATATACTATAAAATTAGATTTTAACGCTGATCGAGCGAAAATGTCATTAAAAATATCATGCCGTTTGAGGAATCTATTTAAGTTATACATAAAATAAATCCGTTGAACTTGAATACCATATAAATTACATCAGGGTCAATTATAGTTATTATATTTAAATGATTGTATGGTTTTTTATGGAACACAGTATTTTTTTAGTCATTATTTTCCAACGCATTAGCAAATACACACAAATTCATTGTCATTTTTTATGCAGACCCTTTTAAACAGACGAGCTATTGATTCGCTTTGCATTGCCTTGTAGGAGTTTTAATAGCTACGTCTTTGACACAACTAGATAGTAAGTCCGAAGAATTGTGTGTAAAAGACATTATGTATTCCAATTACACATCATTTTTGGCGTGTCCCCAAACGACAAACTGTGCAGTTTTATTATTTTCCTCTTTTGGTTTCACAACACTACCTACTTACTTACTCCATTGCTGTTTTAATAGTCAATTCATCTGGTTCAGCTCGATTTCCAACATAACGAATGTCTTGTGTATCATTTTTTTCTGTTTTTTTTTTTCATACGTATCCGGAGATTTTGCATTTGTCGCAAAACTTGACTTCTATTTAGTTCCGTTCGGTCGACCATTAAGTGGTGGATTTCAGTCCGCGCGCCGTTTGTTGTCTATTCAGTCTACTAAAGACCTGTGTTGGCCTTTTTACCGGTCGCAATCGTGTGAGGAATTATCGTTATAAAACGCACGCCGTCTCCTCTTCTTTTTTTTTCCCTTGTCGTTCTCAGAGTAATCGTATCGAGCGAGTACACGTGAGCGCAGTGTCCGCACCGTATACCTGTGTAATAATCTTTTATTACTACCAGTTGTCGTTTCTTCTGTATACCTTTCATTCGGCCCGGCACACGTGTGTGTATTGTATACCTGCCATTTCTGTGCTCTTCTACCGCGTAGAGCGCGTTAGGATAGGCCAACGGCCGCCGTCGGGTCGACGCGGTTGACATACACCGACCGTGGAAAACCGTCAGTACACATACGCACGCCGGCCGGTCGTTGTTGTCGCCACTATATGTTACTATATGTATCAATGTTGTGCTCGCGTGTCGGTATTAGTGAGTTTCCGGTGTTCTAGAACGACCAATATGGAATAGTGAGTTTTAGTGAGTAACATCCACAGACTCGAATAGTAAGTTTTTTTATAGCGTGTTTTTCCCGTACAAAGTCTTTGCTACCCCACGACGGTAGTCTTTACCGTTTCGATTGAGCAACGCTTTTAATCCGACGTGGGGTGACAACCTGTTTATTGTCCAATTTAATTATTTCGTAGTGCACTTGATAGAGACACCCAGTTGTTGTAAGTTTCGTAATTCGATACACAATAAGAGGGTGACGCATTTTGCGGGCATTAGGCATGTGGTGCACGTCGGCAAATTAAGAAATTCGGTTCTTCGGCATGTCTTCTTTGCGTGCGATTCTTATGGCGTCGAGTTCCATGGGAACCGGTCGAGTCTCATATCTGTTCAACGTTAGTCAGTTGGCTTTAGGCGCAATAATTTCCACGAAGTTGGTTAAAAGTAAATTGAATGTAATGTATACTATTGCGTCTGCTTACCCTCGGGAACGTTTAAAAACTAGTTAGAGTAAAAAAGAAATGATAAAACACAACCTGAATTATATCAGACCTGGTGCAATTAAACGTAGAACGCGATGAGGAGTCATCGATTAGTATTTTATGAGCTTACCGTGTGTATATAATGTGTCGTTAAAATATGATAGCTCCGAAATGGAAGTCCGCTAACGGCACTGACTGAATTTAACTGAATTCGTTAATGACCGTTGCCTAATTAACTACAGTGGTATACGTGCGACTATCTATCGCATTAACAGACAATTGTCCATGATTGTTATTTTGGTTCAAAGTCAAATGTCATAATCTCAAATAAACAAATTTACGCCAATAGGCCATGTCTGCCAGTCGATCAACAATTGATCGGCTATATATACCTACAATTTTGTAGGTACGTTTTTTATTTACATTTATATTAAGACAACTTAATGCCACACTACTATTCCTCCGGGCGGTTATCTGGTAGTTTTGTGTGTTTTATTTATTTACTCTTGGGTGTTCGTTCGACTAATACGTTAACATGCGACGTATATTTGATGTATAAAAAACATGTTTTTTATGTACTGTCTAAAATGGGTGTTTTTAAGAATATAAATACATATTTATGCGGAGGATGTAAAAAACAGACTATTTCGTTACGTTCAAATACTGTTAAAGTAATGAACTATCAATGTCCAAACGGTCGATGCGATGACTATAAAGTCTTGGACGTTTTCCTAGCGATATCCGATACCGCCGTGTCCCCCTCGTGGTAACATCATTCGTGTTCTTCTCACTTGACGAACACCGGCTTCTTCTTACACTGCACACGTACTGCGTTGATACTCGATGCGTCCCACGTGTTACACCCGTATGTCATAGCAGCCCAAACCCGCCAATGTGTGCGAAAACCGCGCGTTTTTACGGCTCTATGTTGATGTGAGCACTCAAAAAGGTAAATTCACGTGCAGCCCAGTGATTTTCACCTGAGGTTTTCGTCCTGTAGCTGCGCTAATTATTCAATTCCCCTCCGCCCGCAGAAGACGCCAACACTGTCGTCAACGTGAAAAGGTCACAATTGCTGTGGTGATCTTATGGCAGTGTCTTCGCCGGCGATTAGTTTTGTTACATCACGTCGTTGGTACACACTGCAACATTTTTTATGGGTTCACAATATTGTAATAGCTCTCGAGGGGCTATAATAATAATATGATAATTGTTTTAATGCGCGCGGTGAAAGCGTCCGATCATTGTCGGCACCCACGCCGTGTACGGAATGCACGCGATTTTGCGCGATCCGAAAAAACTGTCCTCCCCGTGCCCCCCGGCCCCGATTCGATTATAGACGTCGTCTATCCGGCGAAATTTCCGACAGTCAACAAAGATATGATAATAACTCGCAAAGCGTCGTATTACGATTGGTGTTGTTGTTGTGATATTGTAATAACATGGAAAAACACGTGAGTGTAGGTGGGTTTTGATATTTTTTTATCACGCGTTTTTCGAATAAATAATAAAAATAAAATATCTTATAAAGGTGAAAGCGGTGGCGCGACGCTTGTGCCGCATAATTGCTAACCCGATGTTTTGTTGCCGTATAATAACTTTGTCTCTTCCAGCTCGTCTTCCTTCGCCGGATACCACTTTGGTTTCTGTTGCGGTGGGAGTTTCATATGTGTTAATTTTTATAGATTTTCGAGCCTACGTTTGTCGGCCTACAGAGTGTAACACTATACCGTTTATGACTAATAGTGTTAAGAGCTTATTGTGATTGCCGGCAAAATGAACGACTAACGGCTTCAAAATTTATAATAGAGTAACTACATAACATTTATTAGTAATGAACAGAACGTACTAATTAACCTAACAATGTCGTGTTTGGCGCATTTAAAAAAAAAAACTACTACTGTACACGACTCGCACGTTTGTTTGAATATTTTATTTTTTAATGACTGCAACAAAAAAAATTATAATTATAAAACATAAATGATAAAAAAATCACTCTGTGCACGAGCCGAATTTGCTTGTTTTGTTTTTTTTGTCAATTTGTCGCACCGACTCAACTAGTTTGCTGATTATTTTAGAACAGTCGTTGAAATTCGTGCAAACGTTTTTAAATATTTTATTCAGGAAGAGTCACACCTGAGTTTTAAAATGTAAATAAATTATGAAAAAAATAGTGCTGATAAATCAATTATCAAGTATTTACCAATGTTTGAAAATTATTTATAATGTATTTTCCTCATAAATTTTCGACATGAAATATTTTTCGGTCTATGGGTTTAAATCAATTAAAATTAATGAAATGGACGTTTTTTTTTTTGGATATTTCACTTATAAGTATTATGTTTCCTTATTAAAATATTTACATTTTCTTTATATTTCACTGAATTCACATTAATATATTCTCTACTGTCATTAAGTACATTGAGGCATAGGAGACGTCTATCGATGAAGCACAAGACTCGATATTACCGCTGATATATTCAAACGATTAAAATAAAAAAATATACTCGTCCTAAATCTTTTACGAGTTTTAGTGATTACGTAAAAACTAATAAAAAGAAGAACCTAGTAATGGAATTGCGTCTTCTGAAATTCTTTTCGCGAAGAGTTTCTTTTGAGTGTATTCTGTATGGTAAGATGGTCTGCCCCCTGAAAAAAAATGGTCCTCGTTTTTTCTAGCGTAATTATTATGCAATCGACCCAATTAAACGTGTTCAAACGTTTGAGCGGAACGAAAACAATCGAATTACACCCCACGTTGTATGAATATTAATTAATTATAACCCGTTACCGACTAGCGATGTGTTCCATCGGTTGTGTTCCATGTTTTTTTCTTGAGAATTCCAATGACAATTGTAACGGTAGTAGCTCAGCCATCGAGCTAACTGTTTTTTTGAAAACTCGCAGTTTCTGACATAATTAACAAAGGTATATACTTTTACTTTAATGAGGTGCGCATTAAATACCCGTATGGTCACATTTTGTTAATCACATTAAAGAACTAATAATAACACGCTCACCATTGTACACATATCACAACGTGTTTTAATGATTTATTGGTAAAGAAAAGTAGTAGGAGATGAGCAAATACTCATTGTACGGGTTATACTGTTTAGAAATCCTCGTCCATTATAATTAACCTTTAATTCTTGTCAAATAACTTCTTTTCGAGTGAACCCAGTGTACCCGTTATAATGTGTTCGCGCAGTACGGCTGCCATTGTACTTTTTGACATCCTTAAAAACGCGACAATGCCACCAAGTTCACAAAGTATGAAATTGTTTTTTTAAGACCCGCATTTGTTTGTTTTCAGTTTCAGATGAGTGTTCGACGAGACTTGTGAACATCGAACATGGCCTGTTCAGACTGCGGTGCATTACTGTCGGCCGCCGCCGTCTTCGTCGCAGCAACACTTGTCATCGGATCGTCCGAGGCTTGGCAACAGAGCCAGTCAGCCAAGAGCAGTCTTAGATATGGTAAGATATTGGAAAGTTACTCTAATCCCAACGCGTGCACGACCATCAGCAAGTGTTTAGCCTTTGTACCGTAAACACGTATCGTATCGCACCGTAATTTTAGTGCAGTACCGCATTTTGTTGTCGAGTCGAATCGTTTGCGATGGTGATGACCATCGTCCGAGAGCTTGTTGCGGCTTACGCGTAAATATCAACCAAAGATTATTACGTTCTCAGACTATGCATCTAGTCTCGTGTGGTCGCGCTTTATCCTTGTACACGCACATATTTTTACATGGCAATTCGATATATCCAGTGCGGTCGGATACTACTGTGCAGTGCGGTTGCCCGTTGTTGTTTGAGAAGTCTCGATAACCTCCGGAATTATCCTTCGGCTCCATAGGAATTAGTTCCCGCGACGTAACGTTACCCTCCGTAACGGCAGTCACGGAACAATAGTTATTACTATTTGGACTACGGTAGTAGTATTAGTCGGACGGCAAGAGACGTCTTCAGTTACAAGCGAGCACGTTTGTTGACTGTCGGCGACTAGACACAGCTTTAGTGAACTACTTTAGTTAAGTTGCACTCTAAAACGACAACCCTGTGGATTACTCGAATGGGAAAACTTGTCGTAACGTTGAAATCTCTGCAAGACAATAATCGAAATGATATTTACTCATAACGTTCATAGTCCTGTGACGACGTTGTGATATTCCGCCGAGCATCGAAAACCTAATTAAAAAATATCGTGTAAATCTGCGAATTGTGTTTTTATTTCATTCGGTGGCAACGTCTAGTACGAATTACAATGTAAAAAACCTTACATTGTTAGATGCCCGCCGAATACGTTGGCCTTAAGGTAGAAAGATTGGAAATAAATAATGATTAGGCTACCTGCCGTCGAATTCGCCAACGAGAGGGACGACAGCGACAATAACAATGTAAAACTTTCGAAGGCCATCTCAATCACGTTGGACTTGCAATTTACTTCGGTGGACAAGAGAAATGTGTAAAGACAAATGGAAATGACTTGTGTTAAATTTTTATCGTATGCTTTATAACTAATCGTGATTATTACACGTCCTTCGAATAATTAACACTTTTTAATCGCGCGGTTGTGTATATTTTTTTATAATGGTATTGATATTTTATTCGTTCCGTGAATCGCCCGGAGTATAATTTTACGAGTGTCCTTTAAACTTGTCTTTTTCGGATAAATTATTTTCGGGAAATCATTATAAATATTTACTAATCAGATATTCACGATCCATTAATGCTCGATGATTACGCGTTAATGGGATGTTAATTTAAAAAAATTAATACAAATTAATGCGTAGAAAATGTGTTGTTTTCGCGGAATACATTTATTCAATCGTCGAAAACATAAAAAATACGTTTACGAGAATTATTTTTGTTTCTATTCTCGTGCGAGTCTAGCCACTGTTCTGTGTGGAGTAACGCGCAAACCTCGTTTTTTACATCAAACGTCAATCATTTATCGTGTAAACCTTACAAATCGCTGCGATCCATTGCTGAAGGGTACTGTCAGTTGTGATCACCGGATATAAAACTGGTTTCCTATTAAAACTGTAGCGTATCCATAAAAAACGTTCATTTTATCAGCATGGATTGCAGACTGCTGCCGGCTGCCTGATCATTTACCCGAGACCATAATTTCAGACAAACATGTTCGTTTTTGAGGGTAAAGGCGGTTACATGAAACTGACTTAATGCGCTCTTTTCTCTCTCCTCTTTAAAATCGGTTAATATTCACCGGAGAATCTGTCTTAATTTTCTTAAAAAACGTACAACAACGAATAATGGTTTTTTTTCCCAACATGACCCGAGTTTATAATAAACAAACAAGAGCATTCCACGTCGTCGACACGGTCGTTTAGTCGATTTTTAGGTGCAGGTAATTTCCAGAACGATATTCGCCTCGTTCGAGATGTCTAACGCGAGTCGAGGACACTTAGCAATGTCGTTGTTCCTGGTCTGGGCGTTTATCATAAAATAACCAATACGTTTTTATACGGTACATTAAAAACAACGATGCAAATTCATCTTGGAATTATTTATATACGCTCGACAAGAGGACACATGTGGAGGTATTTCCACAGGTCCCCCTGGTTATGTGATCGTAGAAATATCATATTAGCTAATATGTTGTTGATGTCGATAATGTGGCCAATCTTGACCAATAATAATTATCAATGCTTCAGATGCTGCAATCGATTTTGTTCTTAACGTTGTGGGTTTACGCCCGTCCGTTTTATGGATATCACAGACCGAGTAACTCGTTCCTAAATATTATGAATAAATATGAAGAGAGAGGAGGACGCAGACCGGCCGGTTTGTGCTGTTGGCTTCAATCAACTGTTGTTGTTGCTGCTGCTGCTGCATTGACCTGTATTCGCCTTTCGTAAACGCTTGTAAATTTATCCGCACGCGTTTCATGTTCGGAATACTCGCCGTCGGTAAAAAGGTCACGACGAAGAGGTTTTCATCAATTAACCATTTCCTCCGCGTGTATCATAACAAAAGCCCACAAATGAAAACAATTTTCAAGTATCGTCGTTCATAAGCGGTGCGGTTCGTAGTCTACCCAAATTTACATAAGCAAATGATGTATTGAACATTATCTAATAGTGATGTTTACCCGTAAGAAATTCCCATTTTTAACATTTCCAATAAACCTCCAGTACATCTAACCACCCGAGTTCGTTATTAAACGTGAACGTGACTTTAATGAAAAAAAGTAATTTTTTTTCTCCTGTACAACAGTACTGTTCTATCCTTCGTCTATTAGTGTACAGATACCGGTTCTCGTGGACCAGTGTCATCTTGGTCATCTTGTAACCACAATAGTACAAACTCAATTATTTCACTTGTTTCGCCCGGTTTGATTACTACAATATTTTTGCTAATCTTTTGGTTTTGTAATTTCATTTTTTTCCCTCGCGCTTAAAATTATAATATGAAAAAAAACCTTTGATTTTGAATACATAATGAGTTTTTACCAACAGACCTGTCCAGCTTGCGATCTATTGCCGTACAACGTGCTTGGACTGTAGTACCACCAAACAAGTTCTATAATGAATATGGTTCTTTTTTTTTAACATTTTATTTGGCGAATCTCCAACACTTTCCATTTGGTGTATGACACTGATCGAATCGCATTTACCGCACTGATTACAAAACGATTTATTTATATTATATTTATTATTACTTTTTTTTGTTATAAATGTTTGGATGTGTTCCAACATCAGATCATGAAAAAATCCATAATATTAACTTGAAACGTTCAACGTAAACTCTGTTATTTTATATTTACAGTTTAGCGTTTTTTATTTTTTACAATAATTCATATAAATAAACAAATCAGTGTAACAATCAATTGATTGAAACGCTTGCGGCCAAATAAATAACTAAGTATTATTTCAATGAATCATAATTCACAGCGTTTAACAAGGTTTTGAGTTCAGGGTTTTGTATTTATTGTAAATATTATTGCCGTTCATATTCACATTCTAGGAATGATTTTATCGGTGTAAAGTAAGAGTTATGAAATTGTTTGTCGTGTTTAACCTTTTTTTTTTAACAGCTAATATAACAAATTAGAACAATACAATTATTACACTAGTTAAGAAGAGTTAAAAACTCGAGTTTAAACTGATTGTTCAGTTTTTTGCTTTATTTATCTCGAAAAGTATGTATAATTTTTAGACTTGGCTATTATAGTTTATTGAGGTATGTGGTGATGTTGTTGTATTCGAAAGAAAATACAATATTAATGACATAATAAAAAATGTATAATATTTAATGGTTGAGAATCGTTAAAAATGATTTTTCCTCGTGACATTAGTTATCCACAGTTAAAGAAATTAAAACAAGACAAAGCGACTCTAGACTTGCCAGTCGTTGTACTGTGCACTAGATGACAAATGACTTCATTTTTCAGTCGCCCATTAACCCAACTATAGTCTCGTCGTGGTTATCTGTCACTGTTAATCTGATGACGGGTTGACGGGTTATTAAAATCTGAATTTGACCTTGATGGAAGCTTTTGATCTTGATTTTTTATCGGTCGCGCACACAGTGGTCGCCTGTAAAGTGAAAGACCTCCGAATAAAATATTATTATTTAATAATCTGGTTCATCGAATAGTAGGCGGTCATTCGACGTGATCCGAAATTTCGAAGTAATGTCTGTTTCGTTTTATAGTCCTTATTTTCGACAGGTGAGGTTCGATCCCAACCACAAGGGTAACGGCTGCCTTTGGATATAAGTGTTGGGTTGATTTCTACGAATTTCGTTATCTAATTACTTGTAAAATAACAATCTGATTTCGTGTTCGTTGAAACAAATGTACTGAAATTTGATACATTTTAAGTGTGTTCATCAACGCTTAATAGATTTTTAATTATTAGAAAATTTCTACTTCGAATGCATTGACAATGAGTAAATTACGTTTTTCAATTCAATCAAAAGGTCTCGATCGTAGGAGAAGGGCACTGGTATGCAGAGCAGAACTAACTCCGCGAGTGATTACAAATTAATTTTAAAAATTATTTTTCAAAAATGTAATTTTGATGAAAGGACGTAAAACACTTAAATGCTCCGAGTAGTATATTTAATCACGGACAGTCTTTCTGCGTTTAACGTAATGGTGTATTTATTTAAAAAATTATATGTGTCAGTCTAAGTGACGTTCATCGATTTGTCCAGTTACGGTGTGTAGTACTGGCCAACGACCACGTCCAAATCGTATGGTAAGGGAGAGTGTAACGAAATAACGTTCTGATAACATTGTGCAGGTTCTTACGCNTGGTGTGGCCAACGACCACGTCCAAATCGTATGGTAAGGGAGAGTGTAACGAAATAACGTTCTGATAACATTGTGCAGGTTCTTACGCAATAGGTATAAATCTTCGTTACGCTCGCACGAGTAATTTTTATCCGGCCAACATGTTATCTTGCAAAATTTGCCGTAAATAAATATTTATGCATTTTATTTGAAAGTAAATTATTGCTCGTCGGTAGCACTGGCGTGCGCTTATTAAATCGTTGTAAAACGCGTGGGCGTTTATATTGGGCTATTGAATAATCATCGGTCGTGTTCACGTGAGGACTGTTATCACGAAAATTGTGTAGTTTGTTATACGCGGTGACGTGCCGAATCGAATCGCGCGAACGTGAAACTCTGTCAAGTGCTAAAAAGCGCACCATATAAAAACTGGCACGAGTCGACGCCGTGGCTCTTGAACGTTCACAACGGTCGTCGGCTACAAGAATATTTCTTCTCGGTGGTCAACGTCACCACGTAATTACAACAGCGTCTTTTTGTCGGCCAAAACCAATGGCACTTTTTCAACGAGTTTAGAACAACACTATTTGTGTGTATTGTCTGTGTGGCGTACGCACTCGTGAACGCCGCTACACTTGTGACTCGAACACATTTCGATTGTTTTTTTAATACTGCTAAACGTGATCGCCGGCAGAAGAAAAAGCTCAGAAAAAATTGGATAGAATGTCGTCGGGGTTTGCGGCAACGCCGCGTCCCGTCCTTTGGTCCCATTACTGGAGATAATGAGACACGATTTAGCCTTGTTCGCGCGTACAAACGCAGACGTCAAGGTTCGTCCGCGCAGATATATCGTTTGATATTAATAATAACAATTGTCGGTGCGCGACGTGTAGGTGATTGTTGTTAAACGGTCGAGAAAACGCGACAGCACAACCGTGACGGGGTGCGGGAGGACGCCGCGTAGTCGAAATCTAGACAAAGAATCACCAACGAAATGTGTGTGATAAATATTGGTAATGAGTTTCAAAACTCGTTCTCGGGCACCGTAGGGATGTGCGAAGAACGGCCGCGAAAACTGCACACCCGTTTTACCAGCGCGATTCGATTATTTATCGCCAAGCCGTGTAGTTCGGGTGATAGGCCCCCGTCGCATAACGATAAATTATAAAACATCACATCCCGGAGAACTGCTGTTCCGTTTAATTTCTGGGCGACATACACTCGACGATAACAATGTTGTAGGCGACAGGCGAATGCCAGTCACACGCGACGACTTGCGAAATGCCCTCGCAGGAAAAGTTGTACTTGCGGGTAATGTGCGCACGTTTTCGCATAGGCGTGAGAGATCGTGCACGATAATTACAGATGATAATCGTTGCGGTGTAACCATCATCCGATAAAGATACACTTAGTTTAACGCGGTTTGTTTATTGTGTTTCAGGAGCGTTCAACGCCGATCAGATATTCAACGGGAACAAGTCGACGAAAAACTATTTCAAAATATTACTTCAGGACCAGAATACGGCGCTGATTGGATCCAGGTACGGTATCGGCTGTCGAATCGCCCTAAATGTTTACTCAATAATTTGTTTTTTCCGAGTAAATAATTATTAATAGTCGGTATCGGAGTTGACGCGAGACCGCCCGCTGTTACGGTAGATCAGTTTTTCGAGGCACTCGTCCGGACAAGCGCGTCTGGAACACAGACAAAAGATTTGTTTTGGCCCATGACTTATTTATTAGACTCCGAGACAGGATACACGGTCTATGACACGTATGATACTAGTGTTTTCCGCGTGCGTCCTGTCCGTTATCGAATATTTCTACGTCGATAGTGCTGTGTAGAAATATCACGCACGGGCGCGACGAGACAGGTATTAACGGCCGAGGCATATGCTTTGTAATCTATTTAGAAAAGTCATTGCCGATTTTCACACGATTCACAAAGCGCTTACAATGAAAAGTCATATTTATGCTCTGCATACATTTCGGTATTTTCGCCAATTGGTCTTTTATTTTAACACTAAACGGGTTACACATTTCGTGTGATTTTCAATAGGCCGCTCATACGACCTAGTTGTTGTTTCCCAACAGCCGCCCGACGATCCCATTGGTATTTACCTATTGAAACATAATTACTGTGACACGCCAATGAAACAGTTTCCAATAGTTCGGCGAACGTTGCGAGTCCTGTGTAGGTTGGCCGCCCCAAATGATACGGTGCCATACAACGAAAAATTATAATTTTACTCGGCGGGTGACCAACTGATGTTTCATTGGCCTTTGGTCATCAAATTTAACGGTCCCATTTATAATATCTCAACAATTTCATTTGGAAACACAACTCGTGCCGTTTATTGTGACAACACACTTAGATGTGCACCAGTTGCTCCGATGTTTGTGGCCACGAGTTAATCGAGTCCTCTCTTCTTATAAGGATTATCTTTGATTTTTTACTGTTGACAACAACGTGTCGGATAGTAGTTACAAAATGATTTGAGGTAATTGATTATGGGCTGGTGCAACTCTATCCAAACACAATGCTAAATCGCAGAGTGCACCTTATATAAGGAATGACATCGTGTGGCCATCTAGAGACTTGTTGATTGTTGCGATGTTAAAAAAACACAAACTCTTTGTCTGTAATCTATAATTCGCCTATACTGGAAATTATTATCATGTGTTTTATTTTCGTTTCAGAAACGTGCTGTACAATGTCAGTCTAGACACGATGAGAGAAAACCATGTAAGTACTTCACGATTATATTACTTATTGTAATTTAGTTCTCATAGGAGCCAAATTTGTATTATGCTAATTTCGTGGTTCGTCTTCGACGTGTAATAATGCACTTGAGGGTATTTGCGGGTTTATCTGAAGGGGAAATCTCAAACGGCCGGCAAAACTGAACGATTTAGCGGAGAATTATTTTCTGGTCCGATGACTTGTGTAGGCGACTTAGTATTCCACGTATTCGGCGGTCGTTGATCATCACCACCTCTAACCTTGTGTAATTCGTATATAATAATATCCTGTGCCGCGCCGGTTTAAAAGCCGCCGTACATCGATAACGTTTGTCGCCGTAACTTTTTATGCGTTTTAAATTGTCCTCCGACAATACAATAGCGGACTCGTTGGGTTTGTTCAGATGTCTCCCGTGTAACACGTTATAACTGTGGCAAGAGATGACCCAACCGGAAACGTTTGTTTAGAACGAGCATTACGATGGTTGTGTACAACACGAATATTAAACTGGTGTACAAATGTAACGACGACGACAACAACAAAATAATATCTACACAATGACCATGTTGAAAAAACATATTTTACTAAACGTGTCGCAGGAGTAATAAACGTTAATAAATGTATACGACTCGGCGACGATATGCCCTTAGACCGGTAGGACGAACTTGTGTACTTGCGTTTTTTAATAGATTTAGTAACACTGCCGATTTCGATTTACGGTCAAACCAGTTTGGTGTTAATTACTGCTTAATCGTACACGTTAAGAACATCTTGCCATCGATGGAGATTTTGGGTTAAACGCAATAACAGGTTTGTCGATGAGTTAATAATAGCGGTCGGCTTGTGCCGAGTACACAGTGGCCCTTGCCATTTTCAACACGTTCGAAGGTTTCGTTTTTGTGCATCGCTGTGGTTTTATTGGATCAAGAGTGTATTTTTAGTGGGTGAAATTAGGTATTCTTTTTATTTTCAAGGCGAAGATGCCGTTCGAACAGCTCGCCAATCTCCATATAAGAAATGTGTGATTATGTATGTTTACACGGCGTTGGCGCGTTCAAAGCACGTCGGTCTGCACTCGAATAAAAATGTCGCGCCTGCAAATAATAACGTAAAAATTGATACGTACAGTTTGTGAATTTGGTCCAAACTCGGTGGGCGAAAGTCGTCGGAGGAATAAGTAAACATAATTTAAGTGGTGAAAAAGGTCGACTGCGCACATTCTCTTTCGATTTTTTGGCTCCTGCACTTATGTTTAGGTCTGTGTCGAACAACATCACAATAAAATTAAATACATGCACTCCGTATCGTTGTGTGTTTATTTGACCGATTACGACCTACATAGACTCCCACGCGAAGGCTCATAATAGTAAAAACAATGAGATTGTAAGTTGTATTGCGCTCTGTGGTATTCTCTCCCCGGTCCGGAAACACGATGTTTCGAAAATCCAAATGTTTTTAATGCGTTCTTCTAAAAACAACAATAACGCGTGTACCGCTCCATCGAATCCGATGCGTCACATTTCAACGGTTGCAACAATTCAAATTTAATAAACAATAAAATAACCTCCGACCTCATGACTTGGCCGTCCGATCGTAGTTAATGATTACAGTTATGTGATTATTTGTTGTTAAAAATGTAAAATTGTTGTCATAATGATTATTATTATATCCTCCCAGTAATAAACAACAACAGGACTGTTAAACAAAATGTACCGTGTTGTTCAACGGTGAAACTCGCCATTGCTCTATAGGCCGGCACGTGTACAACAGTGTTTGTATAAATCTCTTTTGTTGTACGCGTACATTATTATAAACTGTTTCGCAAAATCTATACTCGCAACAATAAAGTGCAAAATAATTATAATTATTTCGAAGGCGTGCGGTATGCGTTGTGAACGTAACCCGTCGTTGTCCTTTTAATTATTAAAGCACAGTAGAGAGAGAGAGAGAGAGAGGCACCTAGTGACGGTGTGAAATGTGCTGGTCCATTACGGGTCGTTCGCAATCCGCTTGTTAGATATCAATTAGGCCCAAGGGCTAGTCGAGTTTTTTCTTTTTCATCAAAGTTGCCGCCCGAAGNATTGTCCTTTTAATTATTAAAGCACAGTAGAGAGAGAGAGAGAGAGAGAGAGGCACCTAGTGACGGTGTGAAATGTGCTGGTCCATTACGGGTCGTTCGCAATCCGCTTGTTA